GAGAGAGAGAGAGAGAGAGAGAGAGAGAGAGAGAGAGAGAGAGAGAGAGAGAGAGAGAGAGAGAGATCAGCGGGCGGGCGGATGAAAGCGCCGAGGAAAGGAAACAAAAGCATGCACAAGCAATGCTTTCACTACATCATGTTCTTCATGTGAAAGCAAAGAAGGGAAGACAGAAATATGAACCTTGGGATAGTTTGTGACAATCACAGGCCTCCCTTTGAAAACAACTTCTGTTATGTATCGCTCGTGCTCACTTTGGAGGTCACGGCCCCATTCCACCTGCAAAAGTCCAGGAAGACAGCGAAGTATAGATATCAGCTTATACAACCTTTTCCTTTTCCTTTTTTTTTTCCTTTATTTTTTCCTAAGAGGGGTTAGCAACTCATATTATTGTATCGTAACAAACAGGACAACTTCCAACTCCTAGTTTGAAAAAGAAACAAATTATGAAAAAAAAAAAAAAAAAAAAAAGAGTTTAAACTTTGAAATCCTGTTCATCTAACTTCATCACTTATTTTGCATAAGTTTGAGAAACTTTGTACCATTCATCCACTGGGTAAATGCAGTTCATTGAAGTTCAGAAGGCCAGAGGGGAAAGAAAAGGAGCACAAAATTACTAGTGAAATGGTTTCACCCAGTTAACCCGATATTTGCAGACACAGAGATTCGATCCCTAGACCTGTGCCCTAACCCTGTACATTGACACTGTGTGCTGAGGAAGATTCGATCCCTAGACCTATCCTGTACCCTGTACATAGGCCCAGCGATCTGTGTAGGACTTGATCCCTAGGTCTGTGGGATACGAGTCGAGTCTATTACCAGTAGGCCTAAAGAGTCTGTTCTAGAAGTCTCTACCTAAGTCTACTGTGGGCCTAGAGACTGTCTGTCGGTCTGTAGGTTCTAGAAGTCCGTAGGACCCTGTAGTCCAGTCCAGTCAGCAGGCACTAAGGGAAAGGGGTTGCACGTGGGGACAGGGAAAGGCCTACACGTTCTGGAGAAGACTCCAGAAGACGCGTATGGGCTCAGGGGCCACACGGTTTAGCCCACGCAGTGAACAGAAGGCTCCAGAAGCACGGTTTGGGGCCCAGCTGTCACGCGTTTTGGCCCAGGCCCACGCGGTTTGAGGCAGGGCCCGGGTACCTCCGAAGAAGTATAAATAAACAGGCAGCGTCCAGCCATTCATTCATTCGCCTGTGTGCCATGCAGAAGAGCTGCCTTGGTATCTTGTGCGTGGACTGCAGGTGCCTGGAGAAGAAATGGGCTCTGAAGAAGACAGCGGCCATAGCGAACCAGCAAAATAGACACCGGCGGCCATAGCTCAGAGGAGGAAGACGCCGGCGGCCATAGCCGCCCAGCTGTTGGTGTAGACAGGGTGTACAGAGTGTGTGTGTGTGTGTGTGTACAGCGTGGACATTCAGGGTGATCCTCGTACATGCGTGCAAGCGAGAGTGAGGGGGAGTGAGGCTGGTGGTAGAGACAGTGTTCGGCGGCCATAGCCGCAAGTTGTACATTTGATTCAGACTGAGTTTAATACAAGTTCATTGTTGTTCTGAGTGGGAAGGGTTCGGTTTTGCCATCGGTTCTCAAGTGTGCATGTTGTGAGCAAGTACGGAGTCGAGTCTGATTGCACTAGAGAGATGAACAGAGATATGAAGTTATTAAACACACACAGATGAACAAATCAGTTAATAATAATTCAAATTAAGAAAATATAATTTTTGAATTATGAGTCACATTATGGCTCAATCCCTTGGTTGGGTATAATCACCAAGAACCCAGCTCTTCTGTCTGCCTGTCTGCCTGTCTCTGTCTCCGTCTCCGTCTCTGTCTGTCTGCCTCTCTCTCTCTCTCTCTCTCTCTCTCTCTCTCTCTCTCTCTCTCTCTCTCTCTCTCTCTCTCTCTCTCTNCCAAAATCAGGCCTTTAGGGCCTGTAAACCCCAAAGGTCGGGCCTTTAGGCCCTGGTGTGTCCCTCCGGCCCTAAGTCGGGTCCGGTAGGACCCGCGTGAGTCGAAGATGTAACACAGAAGCAGAAGCAGAAGCAGAAGCAGAAGCAGAAGAAGAAGAAGAAGAAGAAGAAGAAGAAGAAGAAGAAGAAGAACAAGGGCGCTGGTGGACGTACCTTCGCGGCTATGGGGGGCTGTTGCGACGAACTGGGCTGGTGGGGCGAAGCAGCTTCCCAGAGAGGTCGATGGCGGGCGGGAGACGGGGCAATGGCACTGGACGTGTGGTGGCAGCACACGACGTCGATGTGCATGCTGAATGACATGACGTCAACGTTGTGTGATGTTGCTGTAGCATGGGGCAGGCCGGACGGAGGGGCGGAGGCAACACAAAACCACGCTGCGATTCACATTTCAAAATGCGGCAGATTTCGGCCACAGATCCACAGATCTGAGATCGACATCGACCGCGTGAAAACGGGGGCCTACCGGACCCCGTTTTCTTTTGGAAACGCGCGGCCAATCTCCATCATCGATCTGCGCATATCGGCGGCGGAGATTGGCAGCGCGTTCTCAAAAGACAACGGGGTCCGGTAGGGCCCGTTTTTTTTTCCACTGGTGGCGGCGGCCTCCTAGAGGCTGGGCGGGGACGGGGACGCCCGAAAATCCCCCGTACCGCCCCCCAAAAGGAGAGCGCCAAATCGAACCGGGGGCCTGCAGGGCCAGTGAACCGCCCGGTTGGACCGGTAGGCCCCCGGTCGGTTGAAGGTCCCCCGCTCCATCCGGGGACCAGCACTGAACCACACACACTCCGCACTCCTACCGATCCAAAAAGGTAAATAAAAGATTATTTTACAAAAGTACAGTTCATTGACACCAGGGAACACTTTGTTGATACCAAGGTGCCATGCCCAAAATGTGCCAAATGCTGCTGTGTTAATGCTGTGGTGTGGCTGTGTTGTTGGTGTTGCCTAGTGCTTCGCTGCTCTGCTACCTGACCGCCTATCCGCATGCCGTGTCTTCCACGTCCTTTGCTTGTGTGCCATGTAGGTTGGCTGCCTTGTTGGTGTTGCGTTGTGCTTCACTGCGCTGTTGCCATGCTGCTCGGCCGCTTGCCCTGTCATTTGTTGCAGTTGTTTTTGGCGTTGTGCAGTCGTGTTCCCTCGGCAGCGTTGCGTTGTGCTTTGCTGAGTTGCTCCCCGCTGCTGTGTTCCGTTTGTGGACAGTCTGTTTCCAACAAGAGTAGAAGGGTTCATGACCCAAACCATCAATACGCAGATTCCGCAGATTGTCGAGGGTTCAGCCTCCTGGTGACTCAGCGCAACTCCGACGAAACAATCTTGCTATCATCAGTGTTTTTTGTTTTTTTTTTCGCTCTTTGATGTTTTGCCGTGGAAGCTTTTTTCAGATTCTTGTACTTGGTGTTGTCTTCCTCTTGCTGCTTGGTGCTGCTTACTTGCCCACCAGCCTTCCCCTTTCCCACCAGCCTCTGGGCCTTTCTTTCTTTTTTTTCTTTTTTTCTTTTTTTTCTTAATGTCTGACATTGTCTGTGCCTTTTCTAACTCCTTGCTGTTCAAAGCTTCGTTGCCTCACTACCGTTTTAGGGCCTTTACCCCTAGCTATGCTTTGCCATACCGCTTTTGCCTCGCTGCTTTGTTTTCTCCTGCTGCTTGCCTGGTCAGTTGACTCTCTGTTTTGCCTTGCTCTCCATTTCCTACCTTTGCCTTGCTGCCGTTAGCTCGATCTCACTGCTTTTGAACTACTGCTTTTAGCGCGCTGCCTTTTCCCTTTTCCCTTTTCCCTTACTGCCTTGAGGCCTAGTGCCCCCAGGCTCCAGTCCTTTTGCTTTTGCAGGTTGGGAGAGAGATAAGAGGCCACTCAGTGTATGCATATTATTTGGCTTTATCGTTTAAGATGTGTCCTTTGTTTATCATATGAGGCGGATCACTTTATGTCCCGGTATAATGTGGTATTGCACTTTTAACATGCAGCTCGCCACGATTCGCGTCGCGGCAGCCTTTCAGTCCTCATCAAGCACACACACACACACACACACACACACACACACACAGAGAGAGAGAGAGAGAGAGAGAGAGAGAGAGAGAGAGAGAGAGAGAGAGAGAGA